CACAGTAAAACAGTACTGTGGTGGCAGTGAACATGTGGACGAAGCGTGGCAAAATGTGAAAGGAGCCATACTAGCGGCGTTCATTGCTGCCTGCCCGACTTCTCCAATTCGACCACGGGACCACTGGATGTCGTCGAGGTCGTTATCCATGATTGATGCCAGGAAAGCCATACCAGCAGGCAACGAGTACGACGGCGCACGCAAATCCCTCGAACGCCAAATAGTGAAGTTTCCAAGGGAAGACCGAGAGCTCTGGTGGACATCGAAAGCTCGGGAGATGGAGAAGGCTTTTGCTACGGGAAACAGCCGTGCCTTTTATCAACTGATACGATCGACTGGCCCTAGGAAAGCAACGGCCAGCGCAACGATAAATGAAATAGATGGCTCAATAATTCACTCGCAAAAACGTCGACTGGAGAGATGGGCCGAACACTTCGAAGAGCAGTTCAGCTGACCTCATGCAACACAGCCAGTGGGAGTAATGCATACGGGCGAATCGTATGTAAACCTGGATCGCCCTTCAGAAGAAGAAAAAGGTACGAACTAGCCGTACTGAAACGTGAAAAGGCACCAGAACCGGACGGTCTGAATCCAGCCCTCCACAGAGAAGGCGGAAAATCCCTGGTGACCCACCTGACAAAGCTTATTGGTGCTAACTGGGACGAAGAGAAAGTGGCTTCAGAGTGTAGCATGTCGACGGTTATCCCTATGTTCAAAAAGGGTACACGGACGCGATGTGAAAACCACCATGGCATCATCCTGTTAGCTGTGGCATCGAAGGTGCTCTCTGGCCTTATCCTTTGAAGGTTGACTGAACACAGAGAGACAGATCCGTGAAAACCAACCTGGGTTCCGTCCTCCAAGAGGTTGCATCGATCATATCTTCACCCTCCGACAGATTCTGGCACTGCTTTCAGCAACCAACAATGGTTGTTCTTCTAGATCTGAAAGCTGCCTTTGGCTCTGTGGACCGCCAAGAACTATGGCAGTGTCTCCGGAGCAAAGTTGTCCCCCATAAATTCTTGACCCTCATTAGGGCGCTGTACGCCAAATCCCGCGGCCGTGTAAAGCTCTACGGGAAGCTTTCTCCTGAGTTCGCCATATCTGGTGGTGTCCGACAGGGCTGTCCTCTTTCACCTTTCCTCTTCAACTTCGTCATTGATACGATCCTGGAAAACTCACTACCAGGCTCTAATGCCTCTGAGGTCGAAGTGCCCCCCGAGCCTCCGCTCACAGATATCGAGTACGCAGACGACATCGCTCTTCTGAAATCTGACCCCGTGGTAATGCAAACAATATTAAATAATCTAAGAAATTCTGCCTCGCGGTTCGGCATGCGCTTGACACCTGCAAAGTGTAAAGTGCTACTGCAAGACTGGGTGGGCTCGAACTCTAGGCTCATGCTTGCGGATGAACCGATTGAGGTAGTAGACAAATTTGTTTATCTGGGCAGCTGTATCACTCCCGGTGGTCTGGCGAACGATGATATTTTCACCCGGATTTGGAAGGCCAGAGCAGCTTTTGTAAATCTACGTCACCTGTGACGTAGGTTTGACACCAGCTTCTCTGTCAATGGTCGAGTTTATAATGCTGCGCTCCATAATACTACATGGATCACAAACCTGGCCGCTGCGCGCCGAGGACGTCAAAAGCCTTTCATTGTTTGACTATCGGTGTCTTCGGAGTATTGTCCGAATCTGGTGGGAACACCGTATCATCAATTCTGAAGTACGTCGAATGTTATTCGGGAGAATTAACTCACCCTCGATAGATGAACTGATCACACTGCACAGGTTGCGCTGGTTTGCCCACGTGCTGCGTATGCCAGTTGAACGATTTCGTCGAAGGTCTCTTTTTGCACAAACACGTGAAGGGTGGAAGGGAGCCAGAGGAGGTCAAACAATGACTTGGCAGCGAAGTATGAAGGCCATTACCAGCAAACTCAGCTGAGCTGGTCACTGCCGTCTTCCTGGATGGGAACCCCGAGACAGGCCACGTCAATGGTTAGAGACATTGTCAGATATGGCCCAGTCCCGCCCTCAATGGCGGTTGTGTATCCAAGCTATTGCCTTCAACGTATAGCTCCTTTCCCAACCCCCCCACCCACTTGACAGCCCACTGACAGTGCTGGATTCAAACAATAATTTATTAGCTCCCGCCTGCAATGCGCAGCTACCTCTCCCTCCCCCCAAAGTCATCGGTGAACAAAACTGCGGCAGCTATAACCACTGTACGACGAATACGCGGTTATTACAGCTGACGACGATGATGATGATGATGAGTTGCAATAAAATAAGCCAACTCAGTCCAGTCAATCTGACACTATTTTTAAAGGGACTGAGATGCACTGACTGTTTGTAAATCATGTCGGGTAGTATCTGAGACCCGTCCAAGAATTTGTCTCTAACGTGGAGACCGGTCTACCCACGGATCTTCGCGTGATCCATGCACTAGTGCGTACTTTGTAAAATCCTATGGAAAAGTCGCGGACGCGTAGATGACCAGTCTTCACTGGTCCCCGTAAATAAAGTTCGGTAGATATATGAGTTCAACTAGAAAGACGTTCGCATACTAGCACAAGCACGAAGAAAGAAAGAACGTTATGAGATTCCGTGAGATTCCATGAGATTCCATCAAAGACGCCATCAGTAAACATGTTAGAAGTCCATTGCTGATGACTGGAGAACTTCAGACCTACAAATTCCAGAACTGCGCTAGAAACCAGACGAGAACTCCACAGAGGAAACAGTGGACATCTTTCTACTGATTGTTTCCAGCAGTCACCTGAACGACGCTCAGCTACACGCAAATCGTCCAAATGGAGGTTTATCAAAAAATGCTGTACCATAATATAAAGATATATAATATAAATGAAAAAGAATAAAATAATAATTGTACACACCAAAAATCGTAGGATTCTATACACTGGTTTAAGAACTGCTTATTACTAACGAATCCCATATTCCTCACCAACACAAGACAACGTGGCTACAAGTATCAAGACCACGCGTAGATTTAAACAACACGTGTGACGACAATGTTAAAGAGCGGTTTTCATTCAAGTCAAAAAGAAGAAAGGTGGAATAAGCGCAGAACCAAAACAACAGAAACAGGAAATCAGGTTGTACACAATTTGAATAGAAGAAAATTATCAACAGTATATAGCTGTTAAAGCACCTGAACCAGAAGATGCCTCCAATCGGTTAAACAAAGGAACAAATGAGAAAAAATAGGTTCTCATGAACAAGCCAAGCGCGGGGACCGATCGCCCAAAGAAAAAGATGGGAAGCGCAAAGCAGCACGAACTGGGAACGAGTCGGTCAGAACACTGAGATGGAACTGAGAAAAATGAATGACTTCGGAACAATGAAGAAGAATGACCACAAAGCAGCACAACCTATGAACAGGTCAGTCAGCTCCGCGAGAAATGTTACCAGAAGGAAGTTCCTCAGCGAGTCAATTGAGTGTAAGCATTCCTGATCACAGTGAAGCATAAACTGTGAGGAAACCAATGAAATTACAATACAGCCGCATCTCAAACAGCCAATCATATCAAGGTATATCAAATACCCTTCTAAGACCGATGTAGACTCAACCGTACAATGATGTTTTCCCCCTGATTGGCAATAACAGTTTGGCAAGAAAACCCCAAGCTCGGCAAAAAGGTCAATCCAACTTATACCAACAGAGTGGATGTGAAATAACATCAACGTAGTCAATCAGGTAAAAACGGTTATTTATTACTCCGCTCTCATTCAAGTGAATGTTTTCCCGTGCCTGGTCGGATTTCTGGCATTCTTGGATGTATGAAGACCACATAATTGAATAAGCTCCAAATATTGGAAGTGCTTTAGGTAGGCTTCACAATCAAAGGTCAGCATAATTTTATCCGGATTACCCCGCACACAGCAGTGCGTGTAACCCTCTTGGGGAGTAGAGGAAACAGAACTAGTTCTGATGCCGATATTCTCATCCACTATCCGCGACTTCTCATTTGGAAATACCGTGAGCTCTGAATTTTTCGTCGTGTCCGTAAGATGACTTCAGAAGTAAGGTTATTTATAGCAGTTCGAGCGACAATGACGATTCACGATGTATGATCTTTGCATAAACTGACTACTTGATCGAGAGTTCTCTGATGTGCACCATTTATAAATAACACTTCATTGTAATAAAAGTGAGACCAACAGATATTGTTCTTCCGCCTGAATTTCCCAAAATTAATCTCTCTGAGCAAGAATCCTGCGAAAATGGACAAAAACAAACCGCTACTTAGTCAAACCTTGACTCATAGGCTCTGGCCGAAAAATCGGGGTTACTATGATGAATTTTCATATGTCTCCGTCACTTCCGCATGCGATTATTGTCGCAACATAATGAACATACATTTTGATCCGAAATAGCTACAACGGAGACTGTGGCAAATGATTTGCAATTTGCCGCAACCAATATGCATCCGCTCACGGACTACCCGCTGAACGAGGGGAGATGCAGTTTCCAAAATTGTTGATGTCAATATGAGCAGTTGTTTGTTGCCATTAAGCATAAATCATGTCGGAGTAAGTTCACAAATGTTCAGAACCCAAGCTATCCTATGTTTCATTGGAAACAATGCCTAGAGGGTTTGTATTACTGATGGAAATAGTAATCGGCAATATTTGCAGCTGAAATTTCATCCCTGTGGTTACCTACCCGTTAGCGTCAAGAACTATTGTTTTAGTCAGTTGCCTTTTTTATTCGTTATAAAATATTCAGCAGGGTTAAGACCTAAGTCTAAGCTGGTCAGTTTTCGTTTTTTTCCTATTCTATTCACGTTTTGCGGTAAACGTCACCCATTTCGACCAACTTCCTTTTACGTGGCTGTATGCACTAGCCGTGAAAACCGTGGGCAAATGCCGTTTGATAAATGATGTTCTCTTATTGAATATGTCCCACATTGGTAATTGACTGGCCCAGCTAGGTTTGTTACTAGCTCAGAACCTGGAAGAACAACTTCTGTTCCTGAGTTCCCCCAATGAATGCGGAATCGGTTGGCGGTATGAGCCGAGAGAGGCCAGTAGAGGAGCACGCCACGCTTCGGCCGAAAAAACACGGAAGCGCTTGGTTATATGGATCTGAAGTTTGAAGATTCTCGTCTCACGATAGCAATTGGGGAAAAACCCCGCTTTTGTATTTCATGACATTCAATTAAAACTGGTTTGTTGTTCGGCTAAATTGTGTTTGTCTCAGGTGTAAAGTTTGCCATTTCTAGTCTGATATCTTGAAAAGCCAATCGCGGAAGGCTTTGTGAAATCGATTTTCTGCTGAAAAAGTTAATGATGTTTGATGAACACAACAGCACAGATACGTGTTTAGTTACGGACAACCTCTGTCTTTGTCACTGAATTACACAAGAACCCCTTCATGATCCCAAAGATTTTGACGTTGTAGCCCACGCTCATCCTGTTCACTCCTGTTCATCAACAGGAATAGGTCAAAAAACAGATGCAGGATTTGCTGAAAGATTATAGGACATTCAGTTTAACAGTTGTGTTGGATAAAGAAGCCAAGGAGAAGTCTCAGTTTTGTGTTGGTCCCCGCAGCTTGAAAACACTGATCATAACTACTATTGTTGTCATTCCATCAGTTGCATATATCTTCGGCTCATTTTGGCAATCCCCATATTTTATTCCTTAACCTGAAATATAGCAGCCAGAAAAAAAACACGAAAGTCGATCATAACAACACGATGCTCACCTTTTGCAGAACTCAATTTCACATTCAATCGGCCTCTCCTGGTTGATGGGAACTATACTCTTCGGTGCCCAATGCCTCGTATATTGAAGGAATCAACGAATGTTATAGTTTTTCAATCGGCCGGGTTGATGGGAACTATACTCTTCGGTGCCCAATGCCTCGTATATTGAAGGAATCAACGAATGTTATAGTTTATGGAGAGGAGACGAATACGTAGAATAATTCGGAACCAGAGGGGGCCACCTATTTATAGGCCGAGTTGACGCGTATCTGGTGTGCGAGTTTACAAATCAGCAAACTCAAAACAAGCCTGTTCAAAGTTCGGTAACATTGTTCAACCATAAAGCTGATCGGGAGAAAGACATCACTGTCGGAAAGACTGAAAAAGAGAAAGGACTTCCCAGTACTTAACCCAAGTCCATGCCAAAGGAAGTTGTTTGCAAAAGCAGCATACTTCTGTCTGTCTATGGGTGGTTTTGTCCGTATCACTGTCCCACTCCAGTGCTCACTGTGAAAAACACAGAATCCTAGTGCATGAGTATAACAGATGAGGTCTGTGTCATGCTGCAGTGGCTGACCATCTTGAGCGACTCTCGTAACCCAAGCATCCAGGGAGCTTGAAGTGAAAAATTGGCCCTTGATCTTGCCACCTTCTTCTCGAATGTGAACTGTAGACCACTGAGCAGGAATGTCTGGTGATTATATGAGATATTTGGAAGACGGAAGAAGACAAAAGATGGACTAAAAGGGAACACAATTT